AAGAACTCTATTCACTATTTATGCCCTTTTCATAGAGTAAGAACCTAAAATGTGAAATGGATAATGATACAAAATAGAGAAGTAAGATAACAAATGAATAGAAAAAACAAAAAGAAAACCAGCAAAAAGAGTTTCAAAGAAGTCTCTTCACAAGTCTTGAAAGAACTATCAGTCAAAAATGCTCTTACGCTCCATCTACTAGTGAAGTTGATAAAGTTCTCAAAGCATTTCCATCATTAGCTCAAGGGAGGTTTAAAGTATGATATACAAAATGACTAATTTCTCTATTGGTGCCTAGCTATCAGGCTATGAGGTTGATTTAGGACATGTTTACTTCACCGGTTATTAAACGGTGCTTATTAAGACCCGTGTTAATAAGCGGCGCATAAAATAAACAATGTTGTAAGACCGTGTTTACTTCAAACGGTTTAAAACACCGCTTAACATTAAAATGTCCAAAATAACCTTATACATATATACACACACAAACATTCATGAACACAAGTATATAATATAATATAATATGTGTACCCACACCCTAACCCCTTACCCACCCTACCTTACCCCTACCCCACCCTACCTACCCTACCACTACCCGACCCCACCCTACACTACCGCGGCCCTACCCCCGACCCCATATGCCCCTACCACATCAACCCCACCCTGACCCCACCTTACCCCAACCCCGCCCCTACTCCTACCCTACCCTACCTTACCCGACCCCACCCTACCCCTACTCTACCTACCCGACCCCACCCTGCTGCAACCCTACCCCCGACCCCACTGCACCTACCCTGGCCCTAGCGCCTCTATCACATCGGCCCCACCCCGACCCCACCACCCTAGGTATAGGGTGGGGTAAGGGATGGGGTCGGGGTATAGGGTGGGGTGGGGGTAGGTGGGGTAAGGGTACAGGTAGTGGTAGGGTGGGTCGGGTAGGTAGGGTAGGGGTGGGGTTGGGTAGGTAAGGTAGGGTTGGGGTTGGGTAGGTAGGGTAGTGGTAGGGTGGGGTTGGGTAGGTAGGGTAGTGGTAGGGTGGGGGTTAAGGCGGGGTAAGGGTAGGGTCAGGGTAGGGTAGGGGTAGGGTGGGGTCGGGTAGGTGGGTAAAGGGTGGGGTAGGTAGGGTAGGGGTAGGTGTGTGATCGGGTAGGTAGGGTAGGGGTAGGTGTGTGATCGGGTAGGTAGGGTAGGGGTGGGGGTCGGGTAGGTAGGGCAGTGGTATGGTGGGGTCGGGTAGGATGTGGTAGGGTTGGGTTGGGTCAGGGTAGGGTAGGGGTGGGGTCGGGTAGGTAGGGTAAGGGTAGGGTAGGTAGGGTAGGGTTGGGTTGGGTCAGGGTAGGGTAGGGTAGGGGTAAGGTGGGGTCGGGTAGGTGGGGTACGTGTAGGGTGGGGTCGGATAGGTAGGGTAGGGGTGGGGTGGGTGGTGGGGTCTGGGTGTGGGTAGGGTAGGGGTAGGGTAGTTGGGGTAAGGGTAGGGTGGGGTTGGGGTCGAGGTGGGGTCGGGTAGGTAGGTGGGGCATGGGTAACAATAGGGTAAGGGCAAGGGGTAAATTCGGAAACTGAAAAAGCTTAAAGTGCCGCTTAATTAATATATGGGGGGTGGTATGCTTAATAAGCGGCACTTTAAGCACCTCTTTTGGTTAGTAAGCGGCTTTTTAAGCAGCGTGCGTGTTTACTTCACCTGTCTTACTAACCTAACTGTGACTTTAGCAGTGAAGTAAACACCTCCTTAGTGTTCACATTCCCCGAACATTTTTAAAATTAGTTAAAATTCTATTTCAATTAACCATGACAATATGAGGTAAAAATAGAGGCAATATTGTTTAATTCCAAATTTATAAAGACTTATGAAGCTTACGACAACATTTTAAAGACAAACCCAACTAAATGATTAGCTCATCATTACATTAAAATTGTATTAATAACACAAGCAAAAGGAACACCGAAATGAAATTAAATGATTTTTAGTGTAGCAATGGGAACACAAGTGATAAGTCTATACTTCAACCCACATTTTATGCATGTTGGGATTGACTTTAGCCAATTGGGAGAATGGATCCCAATGATGTCTCGTGGTGAGTGTGAGTAAAGAGCATCCTTGTCATTGAGTGAAAATGATCCACAAGGCTTGTCATAAGTATATGAGTGAGATAGAGTGAAGTAGTCCATATACAAAGAGTGAAGTGACCTGCCAGTTTTTTGGTAAAATCTCGTTTGTACATTTCAGTATAATTCCAAGTGATATTGTCAGATTGAGTTTTTGTATTACTTATGTGTTGGTGAGTAAAAGAGTCATATGAGCTCGTGATCCTGAAAGAGGCGGAGTCTTGTTTCCCCAACACCACTCATTGGGAGTCTCTTTTATGAGGTGTGAACTCCCAAACACCTCTACCGTTAAGGTAGACACCATGAATCCACCTAACCTAGAGATTATCCTTTTTAGTATGGATATCCCAGAGAGTTTTAACAAGGAGGACAGAGTTCCAAACATAGGTATCATGAATACCAAGTCCACCTTCCTCTTTAGGGAGGCAGATATCAGCCAACGCCACTCTAGCATACTTGCACCCCCAAAGGAAGATACGACAGATAAAAGTGATTCTATCAAGTACCGCCCTAGGGATTGGGAGTTCTTGTAGCCAGAAAGAATGGACACCTTGAATAACAGACTTGATCAGTTCGACTCTACCAGCATAAGAGAGGGTTTTAGTATTCCAAGCACTGATAAAACTGGTAATCGAATCCAACAAAGGAGCATATTGAGCCACAGAGATTTTAAGAGGGGCTAAAGGGATGCCCAAATATCTGACAGGGAAGGATCCATCTTTAAAATCGATCATGTTTAAAATATAAGTGAGGTCATGATCGGCCAAGCCACCAAGAAAGATATTAGACTTGTCAAAGTTAACTTTAAGGCCAGAAACACTTCCAAAATCATTCAAAGAATCAATAAGGACTTTAATAGAGGTTCAAAAGAGCATAAGATCGTCAGCGTAGGCAACATGAGAGATGTTAAGTTTACCACACTTAGGGTGGTACTTGAAAGAGGAAGCCTTGGTTCTATTGTGAAGAAGTCTGGAGAAGTACTCAAGGCAAATGACAAAGAGAAGGGGGGACATGGGATCACCCTGCCGAAGCCCCCTTTTGCCTTTGAAATTCCCATGAAGGATCGCATTGATAGAAATGGAGAAGGAAGGTGTAGAAACACATTCCATGACCCAGTGAACAAATCTGTCAGGGAAACCAATGGTCAACAGGACCTTATACAGGAAGTTTCACGAAATAGTATCATAGGCTTTCCTAAGATCCACCTTGATCATAGATCTAGGAAACATATGCTTCCTGGAATAGCCTTTAATAAGCTCTTGGGCCAGAAACACATTGTCAAGCATAAGTCTCCCATCAACAAAAGCCCCTTGGGAAGGATCAATAAGCTCTGGTAAGCAAGGGCTCATTCTCGCAGCAATGATCTTAGTAATGATCTTGTAAATGACATTAGTACAAGCAATAGATCTAAAGTCAGTAGCAGTTGGATCATGAGAGGTCTTTGGAATCAGAGCAATAACTGTATGGTTGAGTTGCTTTAAGAGTTTCCCAGAGTTAAAGAAACCCCTCACCGCCAAAATAACATCATGTCCAACAATATTCTAGTTCAAAGAGTCTCAAAGAACACTTCAACATCCTATTAATTCTGTACCATTTCCTTCTGATCATTCTAATACTTATGATCCTTCACATGCTGATTCCATTGCCTTTCTAGTCAAAAATCCCAATTACAAAAAGAAATCCATCACTTGCACCCACTACGGTTATCAAGGTCACTATGCAGATAAGTGCTTCCAAGTTATTGGTTATCCTCCCAACTGGAAAGGACCAAAGGGATTGAGAACTACTCCTAGCTTCAAACTACCTTCTAATGCTAAGAGCACTCATGCTCATCTTGCTAACACATCCATTGATTCTTCCACTGCTGATCTTGAGCTCTGTGATCCTACTCTCCACAACAAGTTTCTTGAGTTTATGAAAACTCAGAGTGCTAGCTCTGCATCTGCTCATATTGCTATGCTAGTTCCTCATCAAGATTACTATTCTACTGATTCTCCTTCTCTTGGTAATCATTCTGTTTTCCTCTCTAATGTTCACAATTCTATTTGGATTCTTGACACTGGGGCCTCTGACCATATGACTCACAATTTTCCTTTATATACATCTTCACCTAAACCTAATGTTCATCAATTAATGTTCAATTACCTACTGGTTCCTTTATTACTGCTACTCATATTGGTGACATCAAAATCAACAATAAACTTACTTTACACAATGTCTTATATGTTCCACAATTTAATTTTAACCTTATATCTATAAGCAGTCTAGTTTTACATGAAAGTATATTTGTTCATTTTTCTTCTAATCATGCTAGTTTTGTAACGCCCCAAAATCCGGTCTAATAGTTAAGATACATATGAATAATTTATTTTTATAGATATTATTACCTTAGTCTAACAACATAAAATTTACTGACACTTTTCTTTATTAATTAATTAAATTATAACGAAATTTTGATAAGCTTCAATACACGAAAATTTTAGATGAATCAAGTAATGAGATAATTATAAAATACGGTGTATTAGCTCTACAAAAAAAAAATGTTTTCATGGGATTTAATTAAATTCTAGAATTTGACACCTAAACTTAACAAAATAAAATTTAAATGGCAAGGGATGTGAAGTAACGTACTCAAATAAACAAATGATATGAATTGAATTATTTGATTGAATGATTTAATTGCATAGTGAACTTAAGGGAGACAAATTGACATGTTAAAATTTATGGACATCCAAACAAATGAATAGTAAGCCACCTCATGGTATGGGAGAGTGAATGATCATACGTACTATTTGAGAGAAGATAATTATTGCTTTATGAAAATCCTAGCCACACACATGAAACTCAATTGGCTTTAAATAGGAAGCCTACCTCCTCTCATTTTTACATGATCTGGATACTAACTAAAACAAGAAACTCCTCAAAAGAAATATACGGAGTAGCTCCACGAAGTATACAGCTGTCTAGGAGGAGCCGTCTAGGAGGTTTCCGTTCCAATAAAATTTTAGAAGTATTTGCCTTTAAGGTCAGTACTTCTGACCCAGTTTTAGTTCATGTATATTTTAATATTATTTTGTAAGTATAATTTCCGTCCCCGTTTCATGTTGAGTTATGGGGATGATGAAGAATCATATAGCCTTAGAATATTTTGCATGCTCTAAATACATGATATTAGTATTCGGTAAATATATGTTAAGTTATACATGATGAATATTATTTAGCCTTAGAAATATTTGTATGCTTTAATTATGTGTTCATGATTTATAAGAGCTATTATTGATGATTACAGTATACATCGTATGTAAACGAAATTAAAATGAAAAAGTTCCATTGACGGAATTAAGGTTTGACTGCTTGTATACATCTGAAAAATAATAAAATGGACCACCGACTAAGTTAATTTTGAAAGCTATAGTTTACGGATTTCACATTTCCATTATTACATGAAACATAAAAACTAATCCTACTAATACTTGTAAGAGTTATGCACATATAAATACTTAAATATCGCTATATGCCATTTCGTAATTGTAAAAAAAAAAAGTAATTCGTTGTAATGTCATTTCCGTAAATAATTATGTAGTACATGTGTATTATTAAGGCCAGTTAAGATTTGTCAACGTACTTAATACGGAGTATATAAGTTTAAACACACGTATATAACCATATAGGTAGGTTATTAAGTTCTATAGATTTTATTTACGTAAGCACTGTACTCATACTGACTATAGTTTAATACTCCGTATTACTTATTTCTGAAATTTAGATTTGAAAGTCACATGCCATAAGTTAAGTTTATATAGATATTAAATAATATATACGGAGTATATAACTCCACGCATTTGAAGGTTTGGCCTATAAAGTAAAAATAATTTATTAATATATGTATGTATAATTAATTAGATAAATTATTAATAAGTTTAAAGCTTTGCACGTATAACTAGCTAGTTAGTGGAACCATGAAAATTATTAATATATACTCCTAGAATAAAAGTAGTTGACTTTACCAAGAATATGTATACATACGTCACTAGTAGAAAAATGGCTTACAGTGACACTTTTATAGTGACACTTTCTGATAAAATGCTACTTCTAACATAAAAGTGTCGCTATTTTGTAACAAAAATAGATGAGCATGAAGTAGTGACACTCGACATTTTTTACGGAGTATATTTGTAAACGCGCGTCCCTATTCATTACTTATGGGCCGGCCCTTAGAGTTTATTCTACGGAGTAAAACACTTGCTCTTTTTTCCTCTTTCGTTTCAACTTTCCATTTGTGAACCTAGGTCTCCAACTCCTCGATCGATCGTCGGCTTTTCTTGGTCATGCTCGTGACTACATCTGCTCTACAATCTACTTTCTTTAACATATTGAGCGAGGCTTCTGTAACCCCCTTGTAAAGGCTTGGCTAATTGTAACGGCGAGGGGCGATAGGTCACCTAGGGTTAGCAACCGGAATTACAAGCCTATGCCGCACGATGAATCACTTGGTAACATGGTTTTGTTGTTTTTTATTCTTAATCTTGCTATTTTTTAGTCGGAATCTACTGCCAATCTTATTTTCGACGTTCGATTTGAGATTGGAAGGACGTTTTATGGCAAAAAAACCCAAGGAACGAGGCTTTTCAATCGTGTTTGTACTGTTCCATGTAGATTTTGATTTGGTCTCGACTTTAAGAAATTGTTGAGTGTTTCTGGTTTTTAAGAGCTTTTTGGGACTCGCCGTATCAGGACGAAGCTTTATGTCTCCTTCGTCAAAGGTGGGGGTGGAATAAGGTTGGAGTTCTGTTGTCGGTTTGGGCGCTTACTAGTCACCTACGACGATGGATCTAGCTCCTTTGTTCACAGACATCTTGAACTCGGCAATACTGGTCTGGGACTCACTAACGCGCCTTTCTCCCACGCATCTTCTGTGAAGCTTCAAGTCTGACGTTTAGAATAACATTCGCCCACCAATCGGCCATTTTCAATCTCGCCAGCAGCCAACTTCAGGTAAATACTTCATCACTCCACTGAGTTCACTCTGTTTACGTTTCATCAATTTTCAGTTTTTTAGGAAATTGGAGACATGGTTTGCTGATTACAATCTAAAAAACGATTAAAATAACTTATTTGTGTTAATGATTAAACATTTGGATGTGTATATGAATCTGTGTAAATGATTGATATGAGCAACTTAATATGAGAACTTGGTAAGTTAATTGTTTGGCAAATGTCCTCAAAGAAGTATACACCACATTCTTTAACTTCAATAGGTTGAAATTTGGTTGATGAATTGTTCTTGCAAAGCTCATACTTTATCAAGCTTTATCATTTCAGAATTCAGATGTTGTTTATAGGTTTACTTGTTTTTTTCAAACTCAAACCAAGCAATTAAATAAAAGTAAAACAATCCAGCTCTAGAAATAATTTACACCAAGATGGAAAAATAACGAGCAACAAATTTAATTAACATCTTAGAAGAAAATTCCCATGTGGCTGCTCTCCCCCGATCCTCATTGCCTACCCAAAAACCAGTACTTTTCCTCGATCAAAGCCTCTCTGATGAAGTGCTATTCCTATTTACCCCTGAGTTTGACCAATTAATAATGGAGCGATTGAGGTTGCTAAAAAAGAAGTAAATTAAGGTTGGTTTATACTCACTGTATGTGATGATAGTTATGTCACTATGTCAGAATTTAACCATGTTGCTGACAGAGTTCTACTAGGTGACTCATGTAGAACCGCTCTTAGATACAAGAGATTTAAATTGGTGTAGTGAATATGAAGAAAATAACCCTACTTGGAATGTAGCAACATAATTTTGTGTTTGGTGATAATGAGGTAAATTTCTTATTTGGTTCCCCACATCGTTTCGCAGGAAACAAAGATCGCAATTTCCTTCTCTGAGATTGGAATAAAAGGCTCATTTTGAAGATTTTGTGCTACACGGCTTGGGACAACGGCTTTCTTATTCAACTTACAGTCAAAAAATATATATGAAGTGTAGCGGTGATTTTCTTCTGTCAAAGGTTTTATTTCAGCACCAGGAGGGTCCGAGCCAGTGGCGTTACCTTTGGCGCCTGCAAAAATGACCATTATCTGGTTAAGTTTAAGACTTTAAGTTAATTTTAATTAAACTCACTAAAATCTCTAATAAGTTTTTTTAAACCAACACTTTCTTTTTAAAAAACTCACTCAAACCTCTCACTTGCTAATTTATTGAAAATATGATCACTGAATATACTTTTGAAAAGTCATTTATGCTGGTTTTGTACTTCCTAGTATTAAACTATTAAGGAATGGATTTTCTGTCCAATGCTAGTTTTTCGAATCCTTGCTTAATTGGCTGAATTTTTGAATTGTGTTTACCGTTAATGTTTTTTGGGATGACATTCTTTTCTTGAACTTGTTAGGTTCGTTGCTTGTTGAGCTCTTTAATGGAAGCTCCCATTGTTTTATAGTATTAATCATTAATTATGGAAGCTGTTTTTTTTATAAAACTCCATGTGGCTTGAATTATTTTTACTGCATACACTAATACACATGGGTGAATGACTGGTTGAGGAAGAAAAATCCTTCCACCCGAGTTGCCGATTAATTACCGATTAGTCGCCGATTAGTCGGCCTAGGCGCTAGGCGGCCCTCTGCTGCCCGACTAGCGCCTAGCGACTTTTAGAACATTGGTCTGTACTCTGTAGTCATCTTTGAACAGATGCATGAGAAAGAAATTGCTGGTAAAAGATAATCAACGTTTTTCCTTATGATGGTAGATTGAGGTGGTGAAAAAAGGTACTAGAAGGATTAGCCAGTAACCAGGGCCGGTCCCCTGATTTTTTCTCTCATTTGACAGCATTAGTTATGTATGCCTTATGTTCCAACAGCTAATGTATGTGGAGTCGTTTAGGTGGCAGGGCAGCGGGCGAGGATGGAATGGCTCGCTAGCTTCTCAGTGTTGTTTATGATCTCAAATTATCTCCACCTCCCCCAATCGCCACCATACATTTGGGAACTGGAAAAAATCTCTATTTCACATTTGGATGGGTATTGTATACACATTTTCTTTCATATTTTCGCTTATGCTTTTAAGGGAACAAGTTTTATTAATGTCTAATCCATCCAAGCAAAATTTTGGATTTTGTTCTTTCTCTTTATGTCGACGGGTGTGATGTTTTATGCTCTTAGCAAATTTCAAGGGAAGAAAAACCCAAGAACAGTTCGCCAGTCCGTGCTCTTCTTCTTGATTCAAGTAAAGGATGCCAAAGAAATGAACATACACAGGTTTTGTGTTCAAATACTCCCTTTTGTTCAATTTCTTACACAAAACTCACAGTGAACAGGTTCATACATGAGAAGTGGTCTGGAGGGAGTGTATTATTTGGCCTATACTTGACCTTAAAACTTCTCAGCTATTTATGAACTGGAAACTTTGTAATTCTAACTTTTTAGTTTTGATCTTGAAATTATAAAAATATTTTATCGCACTACGCTTGTACATATGCCTTCATTTTGCATTCGATATTTTGACTCATTCCAAAGATGCTTAAATATTTGGAATTTGATGTAGTTGGCATATTCTCATGAGGAAGAGAGCACCAAGGCAAGGAAGGCTCTTGTGATCTGATTGCACCTCTTGAAGTTCAATTTTTTTTTAAGGATGAAGCTGAAGCGTTGATGAAAAAGGTGGAACTACTTAATATTGAAAAGATATCATTGACTCACAAGTCCCATCAAATCAACTTGTTGATGATGGCACAAGATAAAAAGATGGCATTGTGTTAAACATATGGCTCCTTTTTAATTGCAAAATGCTGCTGCTGAGAGGACTCATTCTTATGTTACTGGAAAGCAGCATGTTGGTTATGGAATGGTTCGAGATTTCCTGTCTGAATACAAGGCTACACGAGAGAAGGCAAGGGAAGAGGAAAGATGGCAAGCGAGAAGGAAGCATAAGAAAGAAGAAAACAAAAGGAGAAAGAATATGACAGGATGTTTTGTCCATTAGAGTATTTCTGGTTTTGCATATGCCTAGAATGCAAACTT